GGCCTTGGCCTGGACGAACTGCGGCAGATGCATTACCTGCACGCAGCGGTGACGGAGGCGATGAGGCTTTACCCGCCAGTTCCGTTCAACTCGGCGGTCTGCTGCGCCGACGAGGTTTTGCCCGATGGGACCGAGATCAAGAAAGGGTCGTTCCTTTCGTACAACGCGTACGCGATGGGCAGGATGGAGGGGATATGGGGGAAGGATTGTAAGGAATTCAAGCCGGAGAGGTGGCTGGAGGGTGCCGGCGGCGAGTTCAGGGCGGAGAGCCCGTTTAAGTTTCCGGCGTTTCACGGGGGGCCGAGGATGTGTTTGGGAAAGGAAATGGCGTACATCCAGATGAAGTCGATCGCAGCCTGCGTGATCGAACGGTTCAAACTGGAAGTTCTTCTCGATAAGGACACGTGTCCGGAGCACCTTCTCTCGTTAACGCTGAGGGTGAGAGGCGGGCTGCCGGTGCGCGTCAGTAGACGGAATTCGGCCACGATCGACGCATGCGGCGTCATCACAAGCGTCTCTTTCACCGTACGTGGTGCTAATGCTGTTCAACTGTAACTTACGGTGGAGGAGTGGAGGTCTATCCAGAAGGTTGAAAATACTTCTTAAGCTAAGTTATTATATTTAAAAAAAAAACTTAAAGTTCATATCATTAAAAAAATTATAATTAAAAAATATATTAATATTTCATATGCAAAATAGAATAAAGTTTTTTACTTTTTACATTATATGTTATAGTGAATGTGACATTGAGTTTGTATGGTATGTTGGCTGCCCCATTCTTGATATAGTTTTTTTTAAGGGGCAGTATTAGAGTAAGATTTGGACGGCTGTAATTTTTTTTAAAAGTGGTTGTAAAATATTTATGGAAAATTTATTTTATTAAAAATAGGTTTTTAGTACAATTTTTTTTGAAATAAATAAAAATTATGACTGTAGTCTTAAAAATAAAATATTATGTATTATTATTTAATAGATAATTAATAAATCATAAATAGTTTTGTGTATATATAAATAGCCTCCATTAGGGATACATTAGAATGAATGAAACCAATTAAACATAAGAGTTGTCGGCTGACTTAAAAATCTGTTGTTTATTACTTGGTCCTTTGGGTCGTAACAGTGTGCTTTTGTCCACGAATTTTGAAAAACATATGAAAAATGGGTCTAGATATATTTAAATGAATAAAAAGCTTCATGCTGGTAGGATAGGGCTGTCAAAACAGAAATCCGATCCGATTCAGATATATTTTATTAATTTTTTTATTTAATTCAATTTATTTAAATTTAAATTAAATTAAGATAAGATTTACTTCAATTAATTTAAAATAAATCAAGATTAATTTAATTTGGGCAATAATTTTTATAATTTTTTGAAATATCATTTACTTATTTCATAAAAATTCATTAAAACCCTCCTAAATTAAGTAAAAACGGGTCAAACCGGGTTGATTTCGGATTTTCGGGTCAACCCGAACCCGACCCGGCTTTACAAACGTCGTGTTTTCGGGTCGGGTCAAATATTGACACCCCTATGGAAGGGTTTAGAGCGCGCCTCCAGTCAAACGACTAATATTCTTTTGGATGATCTGGATGAAAGAAATAATATGATCTGAATGTTTATCGATCTGGTTATTAAATAAAAGTCGAAAGAAATATAATGAATTGAACAGAACAGATACTAAAGAAGAAAAGAAAATAAATTCTTTCTTTAGATCCCGGGTGTGTGACAGGCTAGGTTGCACTTTGAGATTGTTAGTATCATGCATTGGAGATCTATGTCATCTTGCAGGGGGTAGAAAGGCGAGTGAGCTTGAATTGTAGGGTAAGCAAGCTACATGACCGACTGACGGTGATAATGAGAGTCGTTGATATTGTATTGAATATGCGCCTTCCCTATAGTTAAGGTGGCGAGTGAGATCAATAGTGGTCTGCCATGGTTCTGCCATGGTGGATAGCAAGCGGCATTATTAGTGAGTTTGCCATTGGGAAGCGAGTAATGAGTTTGACTGTGAGCTTTGGAGGCGTCTCCTTATTAAGTCATTTGTGGAACTATGTTATAAGTCTTGGCCAAAACCCGATTGGACCTGTTGACCTAATTGTGTGTAATGGGCGAGGGAGCAAAAGTGATCGTGCGGGCGAGCGCGCGAGCTGTCAAGTGGGCGAGCAGTCGAGTGTGATGGACTAGCACGAGTGAGATGAATAAACAAAATTAATTTCAAGACGAACACGATGGGCCGATGAATGTTACATTGATATTTAGTCATTTAGCTATGAGCAAATAATCAATTTCAAGTTGTTTTTTAGGTATTTGAGTTAACCCGATTAAGATCAAAAATTATAATCTGGTCAGAATATGAAACCAAAACCTGATCCATTTTTTAAATGGGTTAAGCGAGCAGTCGAGTGTGATGGACTAGCACGAGTGAGATGAATAAACAAAATTAATTTCAAGACGAGCACGATGGGCCGATGAATGTTACATTGATATTTAGTCATTTAGCTATGAGCAAATAATCAATTTCAAGTTGTTTTTTTAGGTATTTGAGTTAACCCGATTAAGACCAAAAATTATAATCCGGTCAGAATATGAAACTCAAACATGGTCAAGTTTTTAAACGGGTTGATTAAGACTTAAAAATTTTTGTCAGGTTTTAGGTTGTGTAAAATCATGACACCCCTACTTTCACAACCCAACCCAACATGACAAGTCATATCATGTTGAGCTATGATAGATAATCTCAAGATCTAGTTTTGAAAATATTTTAGATTTTCTTCTAATATTCCTTTTAAATAGACAGCGTACTATATAGTCAATTAGTCACTAAAATATCCATAGTACTCAAAATAAACTCATCCAAAAAATCTTTTTCATTTCATCAAAATGTATATACATAATATACACTATTTCATATGACTACATAATAGAGAGCATAGATAAATATAACCAAAGTTAGTCATGAACGTACAAAAATCACAATAGATAAAAACTTATATAGACTCAAATAAGATCATGAATTGCTAATCAACAGGCTCATTCCTTTTCCTAGATCTTAAAAAAAAAAATGGAATTCAAAATTATAGTAAGCTACAACAGCTATTGATTTAAAATTTCAAATTATTTTTTTTATTGAATACTTTTATTATATTTAAACGTAGTTAAATGTGTTAATTGCAATATAAATAATCATTATATTGGGCAAAATAATAAGAGCATTCAACTATCTAAAAATTCAAATAATAATACTTTGTTAATTAAACTAAAATTCATATTACATAATAATTCATATCACATATTTCTTTGGTCCTAGACAGAATCTTATAAAATTCTGGCCTCTTATGACTCCCAGTAGAACCCCCCTCTTTCAAATAGAATCTCAAAGTATTTTGGGCCCTTATAATTCTCAACAGACATATTTTCAAATACAAATTCCTGATTACAAATAAAATCTCAAAGTATTTTAGTCCTTTATATATCCCAACAATTATTTTTCATATCAAAACTATTAAATATCACATAATTCAATCTCATAAACACAAAATTTTATCATTGAATATTAAATAAGTTTATTAGCACAATTATAGTGCATAACTGCATATCACCAACAAGATGGTAACTATGGTAAAGAATATGAAATAGAAGAATAGTGGCACATATGGTGATAGTGGTGGTAACGGGGATGATTAATTTTAAAAAATTTAAAATGTTTTAAAAAATAGTTTTAATATTTTAAAGATAAATTAATTTATTAAAAAAATAAAAAAAATATTAAACAAATATGTTATTTAAATATAAAAATAATAAAAAAAGATAAAAAAATGAGGCCAAATAAGGCCTTAAATAGTTGAATATCTAAATGTTAATTAACATGTTTTTTAAGGAATGCATAAGTGATAATCGATAAATTCTTTGCAAGTAATAATTTATTTGAAAAAAAATCAAATTCATTGTTAGAGTTATTTAAAAATCCTTTTGGATTTTTTTTTTAAAGGAGTATGTGTTTAATTTAAATTAAGAGTAAAAGTAAAGAAGCAAATTAACTTAATTGGATGTGTCACATCCACTGAATCACCAAATTATTTGACATATTTAGAATAAGCCAAACAATTTGACTCATTCAATGGAATACGTCATATTATTTGGTGCATTCAACCATTTAGTATGATGCATTGCTACAGTTCTACTAAATTCAGTTTAATTGATTGGACGGTATGTGGTATGAATGCGTCAATTTGTATGACTCATTCTAAAAAATACCTCAAATTATTTGGTGCATTCTGATTTTACTTGTTTGCCACCTTTAAATTTTAAAATTTACATGCTCTTATTATTAAAAATGTATATTATAGTTGCTCGTTTTTTTTTTTAATTTAAAACAAATCCATGTTATTAGTTTTCAAAGTCACCCACCGCTGCTTGTCCAGGTGGTGAAGAGCCGGTTGGGAAAAGTCTAGGTCTCGGGTTCAAATCCCTTGGCAAGCATTGAAAGCCTTTAAGTGTTGGCCCGTGTAAATTGATGTGGGTTGTATGCTAGGTCGACCGGAATTTTCACTGGCCTAAAAACAGTAATTCCTAGTCACAAAAAAAAACAGCTTTCAAAGTCATTTTGAACTTGAATTATTGGGATGCGCAAAGTTTCACAGCGCTGGGAAGCGGCAGGAAATCTCGGGAAAACGCTTCTGGGGAGGGTGTTTTCTGTAAAGTTGCCATCCGTTTCCCCTGATTCAAGCACTTTTTGAGAGGGAGAGGGAGAGGCAGAGGATTTGGTTCACTGAACAAGGCTGAAGAAGATCAAATTTTTCCAAAATCAAAATTCTACTTTCCCTCTGAGTTTCCACTTGACTCTCTTTCTCACAACAAGACGTCCTATTCTCTACCGTGAAGGCAAGCGGCGGAAGAAGTTGACTGTGCTTTGCCTTTAGTCTCTGCAACCTATCTTCTCTGTTCTTCGGTTCAAGCTTCGTGGAGGGGTTCTTTGATCGATCAATGAAGGATTGCCAACGCCATGAGAAAGAAACTTGACACCCGTTTTCCTGCTGTGCGTTTTTTTCTACCCAGTAATTTAATACTATTGTTTTCTTGCCTCTGTTTTCGTGCTACGGGTTGATTTGATTGATAGGTTCTGTTTCATTAGGAAGGAAGTAGGTTCTGTTTCTTGCAATATACGAGTTTCTCTTGTATGGATTGTGTTTTCTTTGGTTTCAAGGTTTGTTGCTCGATGGAGGAGGTTAGGGTTTTGTGTGCGTTGCTGTAATGGAGAGGAAAGAGATGTGTTTGGCATAGTAGCCTGCACCAGGCTCTTGTTCTTATGGGTTTATTTTTGAATGACGGCGTTCATTGGTTTATGCTAGAATGCTTTTGTAGTTCTGCAATGAAAAGCTTCACTTTGAAAGAACAAGCATGTCCACGCATCTATGACTGGGTTCCTTGTTTGGATTATCCTGATTTTGTTTCAAAGCATTTTTCTTAATACTAGCTTGCCTTAGTCATGGTCTATCTTATGAACCAAATACCAAGCAGCATAGTGGATTTGGGATTCTTCCCCACACTTATATTTTATAAACTTGAAATGCATTCAAATTGGGCGAATTTCAAATGATGGATAACTCACAGTTTGAAACCTCACATTCCCCAACTATGGCCACTTGCCTTGGTGTCCGCTGGTTGCCATCGACCATTGACTTCTGCATCCTCCTTTGTTTCCACCGCTTGCTTGTTGCCACAGACTTATTACCACCATTCCCCATCCAACCCTCTAGACTTCACTATTTACTGTAGCCTTTCAACATTTTACGCCCCACATACTAATTAGGGATATAGAGAACACCCAAATTTAATAGGAATTATTACTCCCAACCTTGTTTTTTACTATAACTACAAGAAAATGAGGCTCATAACATGATCTCAATCCAAGTGTGCTGGTTGTAAACGCTAGCACAACTTGCAAATTATATATACAACACATGAGAACATTGATTGACAGCTCCTCATTTGTGCATACCAATGCAACTTTATGGATCCTTAGTCAACACGCAATGGCTTCATTCTCTCATATTGCCATAAGCCAAAATCACCTTACCAAAGCCTATGCAAATGGGAAATACTTTGTTTCTCCCTTTTTGCATGTGCATCATGCGCGTCGCCTTGATCTAACATAAACAGGCTCCTTCCAAGCAACTTTCTTTGCCAAATGTTAGACACTTACACATATACTTGTGGGCTCCAAAAATTCACACCTGGTTTATTTATTTATTTTTTTGAGACAGTTTTGTCTAGGTCAAAATTTCAAAAGATATTATATTGTAGATAAGACAATACCCAAAAATTTTGCTTTTAAATTGAGAATTTTATGATTTAGTTTTTATATTTTCATTAGGGGTGTCAATATTTGACCCGACCCGAAAACCTGACACGAACCCAACCCTTAAAATCCGGTTTCGGGTCTACCCGACAAAGAAATGGGTCGGGTTTGGGTACTATTTTTTGACTCGTTTATAGTTCGGGTCGAGTTCGAGTTAAACCAGGTATGACCCGAATTGACCCGCTGTCTCCTGTCAGCCTTTCTCCAACCATACCAACCCGGTAAGTCGGTAACCTGGTAACGCCCGCGCAACGTCGCCGTCGCCTGCCTCGCACACCCCGTGCTGCCATGCAAGCCACTAGCGGGCCTAGCCCAGACCGACAGCCCCCCGTCACCAGTGGTCTCGCAGAATGCCCCACACTCGGACCGTCGGAACTCGACGACACTCGCCCTCAACCTTGACTGCTAGAGCTCGATGCACCCCGCACTGGTGCACTCGCTGTCTCCCACACTTGCCGACTAGCTCTCGACAGAACCATAACCCTGCACTCACGCTAGATGCAATTTAACCCTATTTCGGGTTCATGGGTCTGGTCGAGTCAACTCGTAATCCACGTGGGTCGGGTTCGGTTTGAAAATCCTGACCCATTTGTGAAACTGGATCGGGTTCGGGTCAACCCGTTTACGTCAAGGTCAACTTGGGTTGGACCTGAACCCGTCCCGTTGACTCAAATTGACACCTAGTTTTCATTATATTAGGTTGTCATGATCTCTGATCTACTTAGTCAACAAAAGTAGTTGACCCAACTTGATTGAATGACTTTTTTTCGAAAACTGTGTTGCATCATCCAAGAGAATTTTATAGATTCGGGATCGATGTTTGTTTCATAGTATAATTTTAAGCCAATCAGAGAACTTCATCTGCTATTAACTCCTCCATACAATTCTCCACTCGCAGATTTAAGTCATTAGTTAGCTTATGAGCTCTAGTCATGGTCATAATTTAATAGTGTCATTTTTGTGGTGAAATCATACGGTCAGAGTGACCCGATCATACTTATTACTTAGTAGTGTCATTTGGTGATAAGATTACAAAGTTAGAGGACTCATGTAACATCTTTATTGGAGAGAGAAAGGAAGGAATGAAGAGAGAGTGAGAGAGTAGGAGAGTTGTTGTAGAGTCAAGCAAGTGTTCGTGAACTTGAGAAAGGTAGGGAGTTGGTAGGCTTATATATATATATATATATATATATATATATATAAGAAGATTCAATTATTTTTGCTGACATTCAAGATAAAGAGAGTCATAACTCTTTAAGGTTCATGCAAAGAAATAGCATTTAAATAACATTCCAAATTTAGTGCTAATGCATGAAGATTCAACCCCTCAAGTTTCATATACAAAGAGAAGATCAAACCAATTGGGTTGTTTGAAATAGACAACTTTTAGATTTTTGTCTTTTTGATTTCTTAATGTAATGGAAAGGGCAATGGGTTTATATTAAGTTGTATGTCATTTTAATGGAACAATTATTCTATAAATGAAATTGAAAGAAGTCCATCTTCTTCTTATTTCCTTATGCTTGGGTTGACGATGGATTCCTTGGGCTCGGCTCCTCACAAACATCCTAAATCCCATACAAAGGCTCTCACTACTTTGTATGCTCTTGGTCTTCCTTTCGTAAACCCCAAAGGCTTCTCTCTCCCCTCAAAGCTTTTAGGTCTCTCATCACTCACTTGACAACCTCAAAGATCATTTCCTACATTTAGCCACTTTCTAGACTACCCAATCTTGAGCCTACCACCTCACATGGACCCTCCAAATAATTTCGCAATCCATCAAACCACTCGACTTACTCACTGAACCAACCAACAAGCCACCCCATCCAAGGTAGCTCTAGGCCACTTTAGGAAAGCCATCTTGCCACAAACTTCTCAAGCCCAAACACCATCCATTAGCCACTTTCCATCTTTTTTTAAATCAAATAAAATTTTGTGATCCTCTTCCTTCATCCAATGCCAACACCACCTTGCATTTGTTATCAGAGAAAGTAATATTTTTTGGTAATTATTGTTTGTTCCTATCAACTTTTTGGATGTGAAGATGATAGGCTATATTTTTTATTCGATAAGAGTAAGCATCTTCTTTAAAAGTTTATATTTCATGTGGGGAATGCATTAGTTTTTGGATAAAGGCACATTATACAATTCTAGATTTCTTGAGTTATTTCAAGCATGCCATTGGTACATTTTTTATGTCATAGTATGATTTCTCCGGTTAAACTTATGGACCTAGTCTTAGTTGTTGTTCTTTTAAGCTTATGTCGTATCATATTGTTGTTAACATGTGATGTGATGTAGTTCACTTGAACTTAATGAGATAAATGTTGAATCAGAATTTATCAGTAGATGACATGAGACCTTACTAGCAGGTCAACTTGATGAGTTGGAGCTTGTGAGAAAGAATGGAGGGTTGAGAATAGAGAGAGAAATAGAGCAGAGAAGAAGGCTAGGGATCTCAAACTGGTAGAGTACTACTATTAATGAAAAGTCCATAATTCAATAATTGAAGATTGGATTCCCAAGATCAAAGTCAAAGTCCCCAATTGTTCCTATTGTCCTTTATTTATAGGGTTCAAGGGCTAAACAAAAGACTATACAAAGAAAAAATAAAGAAAATATAAGCTACATAGAATGCCCGTACAACTCTATACACTAATCTAACATGTGTTGTCTTTAATAGATTGGAGGATGAAGTCAATGAGCGAGTTCTCTAGGAGCGAGCTCGGTGGAGGTGAGTAGGCTCCAGGTGAGTCTATGAGTAAGCCCTGGCGAGTGGTTGTGCGCGACATATGACTTGTGTAGAGGATCTCTGGCCGCCTTAAGGAAGAAGGCAAGTGAGATGTTGCGGGATTGAAAAAGTTTTAGCCAGGATGGTTGTAGTTGAATAATGTGTCTTTTGAGTAGACATTTTCATGTAGCTAAGTTGGGCTAGTTTGAATGTTCTGAGGGAGAGCTAGTGAGAGAGTTAGTGGCGAGTGACGGTTTGACAAGGGATCCCGGATTCTCCTCGTGTTGGGCGAGCTCTGTAGTAGGCTTAGGTGATTTGAGGCAGTCGATCCCCTTGAGCCAATCCCTTTATAGGTCCCAGAAGAGTTCCTCAAAGGAACCCTTCTTGAAAGGAGCCCTTCTTGAGAGTGAGTATCCTCGTCAAGACCTAACAACTACCTGTGAAACCTTATGAAGATATTTATGAGTATGCAGTAAACTAGATAAATTTCTGTGTGTGTGTGTATATATATATAGGATGGATGTAGATAGATGGAGAGGAAGTACCTGAAACAAGTTAAAAACCTAGTACCTATCACCTCTGTGCTATATCTGGGTTGTAGATATATGGATAGTGCTTAACATGAAACAATTTAAATAACATAGACATACCGCATACGTGATAGGTTAATTTGTGCTTGATACAATCACCTGCGGGGCTCAATTACAAAACAATAATTTTCTAGCAATCCTCAATTTACCTCCATCGTGTCAGCTGTTTTAAGTTATGCTCATTTTTTATGTATCTTGATTATTTTTTACGTGATATGTTACTTTTTATCATCTCTGGTTCTAAGTAATTGATCATGAAGCATTTGGCCTGCTCTCTGGCGGTGCATCATTTGGATCTTTTCATTTTTGGATTCTGCCAACGTGTTTTATTCCTTCTTTGCATAAGCTTGTACCTGGCATAACCTATATGTTCTCCTTCTGGCAGTCTCGGATTAAAAGGATAATGCAAACAGATGAAGATGTCGGAAAGATTGCACTGGCTGTACCTCTTTTAGTTTGTAAGTAATCAATTGCTATTTAATATTACATACATACCACTTTATTTCATGCTATTTAGATATCTAATACCTAAAACTTTAATATTACATGTCTACCACCCATAGAACAAATATGAGTGCATGGAATGAAATATTAAAGTTTATAGGGTGGTATGGGTGGTGAAAATGAAATATAGTTGTGATATATTTGATATTAAAATTTTATATGAGTGGTAGGCATGTAATATTAAAGTTTTAGGTGTTAGATACATAAATAACATGAAATAAAGTGGTATGTATGTAAATTTCCCTAGTTTTAATCTTAGATAGTCAATATATATGAAAACTTTTCCTAGTTAACTTAGATGGTCAATATATATGAAAGCTTTTCCTAGTAATCATTCCTATACAACTGTTTTGAGCCCTAAAAGGACAACAAAGCTTTCTAGAAGTTGCCAACATACCTGCTTGATATTGTGGAAATGCAATGTTAACTAATAGCCTTGTGTTGTGGATCATATGAGATATTTCTTTCGCTATTTTTTGTAAAATGAGTACTTTGAACACTGCAAAAATAAATCTGTTTACGGTTTGTTAAATAAAATTTTGGTCAGCCTGTAATAATGCTCCTTTTTACTTTCTGTTATAAGCAATGTAAAGCATGCTTTTAACAAAAGTTTGCAGGTTAATACATTAAATGAAAAGTTAAGCTTTCTGATGCTTTTGGATCTGTTATTTATTCCCTCAACATTCTTTATAGCATCTTGAAGTTATTATAGCCAATAGCCATAGCCTTGTAATGCTAGCCGCTGTTCCCGTTATGATTCTAATCCATGCAATAAGTATTGGAAACCAAGCCAAAGCATTGGTGTTTTGTCACTCCGCAGAATGAGTGGCTGAGGAGGATAAATAATCTGAGTTAGTGGCCGTTAATTTTTGAAACCGTCCTGAAAGAGTTTGATAGGATTCTTCAAATTAATAGTGTTTACCTTTTAGCTTTTTGGATATCTTAATTAGTATATATTTTTGTTCATCGCCTTGTAATGATAGAAGCTTTATGCAGCTTCAATTAATGAAGTCACAGCTTTTATTAATGAAGTCACTCGTCATTCTTAGTTGTGAGGGTAGCAATGTCTCTTCCTGTACGTCAAATTAAAACAGCACCATCATTTAGTAAAGTAGATACCCAAACATATATCGTAGATGGAATTTACAGCTAAATGTTCTTGGTCATACAGATTTACTGAATCTTGATTAGCATGGGAGGTTGAAAAAACAATGTTAATAGGTTTATTTATTTGAATGATTTGAATGTAAATCATGCTAACATGTTCTAGCATGTGGCTCGCAAATTATGAATTCACTTTGCATTTTGCCTCTTGGCAAATTGTGCCATTTCTTCAAAATATTTTGGCAAATGAACTTTTTCATTTAAAATGAAAAATAAAGGTCCGTAATCTATAGTTGTTTTGCCACTCTATTTAATTTTATTATCTATTTAGCCTTATTGAAGGCAATATGGAGCATCATGGAAAAAGTTCTTGAAACTAGGACTCGGAGTAGGTTCTTCTCTCTTGCTTAAGAGCTGGCTAATTAGTTCCGTTTTAATGATCCAATGTCCAATGCTGATTTCTAAGCTGTTATGAGTGATAATTTTGCTGAAATGCTAACCTCATAGTTTGGACGAGCTTATTTGCAAAACTCACCCCTTTGATTAGTGTGTATATTAGCATGCATGGTTTATAAGTACAATTAGCATTTTTTTAACAAGCGTCCAGTATCTTTCACTGTTATAACATTCTTTTTGTTCCATTTTATATTGTTTTTCTTGTTTTCATTGAACATTTGCAGCTAAAGCATTGGAACTGTTTTTGCAAGATCTATGTGACAGGACATATAATGTTACTCTTAAAAGAGGGGCAAAAACAATGTGTTCTTCGCATCTGTAAGTTTGCCATTTTTTTTAAATTTAATTGATGCTGCGTGTAGAATTTAGCAAATTATTCTGTGCGGACACAGGACGCAAGCTTGCGTCCGAATTTGCTGAGCTTTTACTGTGCTGTTGATATATTTTTGCAAAAGGCAGCCAATACAATTTTAATTGCATATTAGCTGACCTTTTGCTGAGTATTTGCAAAAATACAGCAAAAGCGTAACAAATATCTTACTCATTGAGTATTTGCTATCATTTTGTTGCGATTTTACTGCGCTTTTGCAAATACTCATCAAAAGAGCAGCTAATATGCAATTAAAATTGTGTATTCGCTGCCTTTTACAAAAATACATCAAAAGCGCAGTAAAGGTACAACAAATCCGGACGCAAGCTTGCTTCCAGTGCCCGCACAAAATAAATTGCCGTAGAATTTGTCTTTCCCTGGAACTTTATATTCTCTTAACGTTCCTAACTGGATTCTTTTTTGAACTTCATTCATTCTTCAGAAAACAGTGTGTGCATAATTTTAGCGTCTTCGATTTCCTCAAAGAAACAGTCAACAGGGTTCCTGATGTTGGGTGTTCAGTTGTTGTTGGAGAAGACAGATCTTCCAAGAGAAGGTCAGAGGCTCTACATTTTTGTTGCATCTGTAAATTATCAATTCATTACAATATAGTACATCTGACAATCTTATATTATGTTTCCCAGAAAAGCTGTAGATGATGAAAGCAACGTAATCGATGAAGAATCAAAGAGGAGTAAAAGAGTAAGATCTTTACTCTTCTCTGAACTAGAAAAGCTGATTGTTATTGTAGACAGACTCTATTGCAAGCTTGGTTTGAAACGCATTTTTTTGGTCTTTTGATTACTTGAGTCTTTACACGTCTCTGAACTAGATGAGTTTGGTGGTCCATTGCCATTCGTTTATCATAACTTAGGCCTCGTTTGCGACGGCTTAATTTCTCCTTTTCTATTTCGAAACAACGGATTTTTGTTGTTGTTGTTGTTTGTATGTGTCATTTTTATAGAAATGATTTTTAGAGAACTGTATTTTTATACTGTTTTCAAAAGCTTTTTATATTAGCTTTTCCCTTAGAATACTTCGTTCTCTCAAACAATAGTTTTAAAACAACCTTTTAGAAAAAGTATAGAATAACCAAATGAAGCCTTAGCTTACCAGTTTAGCCAATATCCATGTAAAGAAGATAAGATGTAAACATACAATCTTTATTATGAGACTAACCAAAGACATTAACTGGTGGCAGGAGCCGGTTCATGATAGCAGAGGACGGGGTAGAGGACGAGGTAGAGGACGAGGTAGGGGGCGTAGAAGAGGTTCCCATGAAACTGAGTGGGATTTTTCTCATTACAACAAATATGAAGGTGGCCCAGAAACGTCTCCGCAGCACCATCACAAACTTGAGCAGGGAGAGAATGACTTCAACAAAACAGAGCTGAAGGAGATAGACATGACAGGTACTCCTGTTCCTGTGAGAGACTTTGATTTGAACATTGATCTAGACGAAAATGGTTTAGCTATGACAAACCCCGTCTTGGCATGGCCGCCGTTCACCTATATCAACAAAGTTACCATTGATCCCCTTCAACTGGCCTTGATAGATAAAAGAATCGATGAAGAAGAAGACTACGACAACGAAGACGACATTTAGCTTTTCCTTAAGCTGTCTTGCTTTTGGTAGCTGTTTATTTCATGTCACAGAATACCCCTTGTTGATCAGTTGATTAAGATTATTATATCTGTACATAAAGAAGTTTTAGCAAGTTTTGATGAGCCGAGTGCTCTTTTTATTATACTTAGGCTTTTCCACAGCGTTAGAAATATGTAATTAGAACAACAGATGATAGGTTATAGTTCTTTCTTTTTTATGAGCTTTTTGTCTTTCATCTGGTTCTTTCTTCAATGGTTATGGAACTTCTTTTTTTTTTTTTTTTATTATACTTAGGCTTTTCCACAGCGTTAGAAATATGTAATTAGAACAACAGATGATAGGTTATAGTTCTTTCTTTTTTATGAGCTTTTTGTCTTTCATCTGGTTCTTTCTTCAATGGTTATGGAACTTCTTTTTTTTTTTATCAAGAAGCCTTTATTCCACTACGTGGAATATTTCTCTATTGTGTTTTATTAAAGTCTCATTTGCAAACACATCATATACGTAAATCTCAAAACCTAAATCATCCGAGTTGGAAGGTCAAACGGCTCTAGATTTGAGGATTTACATACTTGGATTTAGCTTCTAATGGAGCATTTTTAGAGGATATTTGATAGTAAATTCAAATAGTCTTATAATTTTTTGTATTGTTGAATTCTGAAAAATATTTTAATTGGTGTCAAATCCGAGAATGTTTGCATGCAAGATGATCTATTAATCCTTAATTCTATGAAATTTCTTAAATCTTGTTCTTGTTAGGATTTATTAAATCCAGGATTTAAGTTTTAATTTAACCACTGGATTATTCATATATCTATCAAACTGTTTGGCTAAATTTATCATTAATTTAGTCTTAAATTCAACTGCTAACAAGTGTCCCTTTTGATGATAGGATGATAACAACACATCAAATCTTTGTCCCACTACGTGAGGTTAACTACATGAATCTTTTTTTTTTTCCATTTTGTCATGTTAAAAAATCAAATTCTCATTTAATATAATAAAGAAAGATTATTTCTAATATTTTCTAACCAAATTTTTTTAGGTCTACCTCTATCTATTTAATATAAATAAAATCTAATACGTCTACTTTCCTAATCGGATCATCGGAAGGCCGCCGTTTATGTGACCAAATACACTAGGCGACTCTCTCTAATCTTATCTTTCACTGGAGCTACTCCAACCTTTTCACGTATAGCTCATTTCATATCCTATCTCTAAACTAAAGCCACTAACCCACCACGAGCATCCTCATCTCCACAACACTTAGGTGAACAAATAGGCATATAAATCTAAATTTGCACAAGATTTTAATAATACATGGACGTATTGATTGACACTTTAGTCTGATAGGAGGCACACTTAACCTGTTAATTCAGAAGCAAATATATAAACATCCAAAGAAACTATTAGGAAAACGAATAGCAAATGCTAAAACTCTCTCAAAAATGAGAGTTTTAGAAGGTATTTCCTAATTATATATGCTGTTATAACCATCATGAAGATAGACTATTTTGTAATTCAAATTCATGATCTGTCATAGGAAGGAAACCAAATCATTGCTCCAAATACACCCTGAAGTACTTTCACAGTAATCATAACCATGCATGAAACAAGTATTTAAACTCCAAATAAGAAAAAGAAAACACCACCATTAAGTTGTGATTAGTTATTAAACAGCTCATTAGTAAAAGTCTGCTAGTAACAACAACAAAGACAAAGGAGCTAATACCCCTCCAGGAATTGATTCAGACTAAAAATCCCTCCCACATTTTTGTGAACTTCCCCTTGTATTTCTCCACCTTCCCTCCTCTCCTCCTTAGTTTAGCAGTAAATCGAACTTAGCAAAGTCTTCAATCACCTGTCAGCCAAAAAATAATGAAAGAGAATTATCAGCAGTATTTCAGGTAATGTTCAAAGAGCAAAAAAAACGTAGGAAGTGAAACAAAATCAAAAGACTTCAATAGACTATTCGACCTCAGCTTTTGCATGTAGAATCTCAAGCAGCTCAAATGTAACAAGAAAAGCTGAACATATTTTGATGGCCTTAACAGCATGGTTTGCTGCAGCCTGGACAACGGGGTCATGGGTAGGAACAGCCCTCCATCCAGGTTCATGTCCATCTAACATACCATTAGGCTTATTTAGTCTACGTAACAAACCACTGAGGCAGGCCAACAATTTTATTCAACGAGGTATCAAAAGGGCTCATTTGGAGGAGAAATTATTACATCCGGTCAAAAACCAAACGGTCCGAATGTATACCGAGCAATACCGAGTCCAAAATACTTGAAGTTTTAGGTTGATGTGGCGCGTGTTTATTGCAAAACGAACGCATTCGGACAACGGAGTAATAATCTCTCCATTGGAGTGGCTTGAGAAAGCAAGAGCAAACACGAACTCACAAAAAGCTAAAATAATAAATTTCCTATCTGGCAGGAAGAGGGAAATTTTAAAAGGAGAGTATAAAATTGGAATTTGTAAAACCTGTTTGACAATAAAATTAAAATACACCGAGGCATTTTTAGAAAAATGCCAAAAATGCCAATATAAATTAAAATTTATTATCATTCAAACAGTACCCTGCTTGCGATCAGTTGTTGAGTCTTTAGTTATTCAATTATGAGGCCATATTCGAATCCTAGCAGATGTATGTAATATTAACTATAATTATTTAAATTTAACAAAAAGTACTAAATAATAATGATATATAAATTTTAATATAATATTTTATTAAATATTTAATTATTTGTAATATTTTAAAAAGATATGATATCATATATTTATTAAAATTTTAATAATAAATTTATAAAGGTTATAAATATATTTATTATAATTTTAACTCAATAAAAAAATGTTAAAGTTTATAATTTTTTTATTAGAAAAAAATATCTAATTTTTTTATATATTTATTATTAAATTAAAGATATATAAATTTAAAATAAAATTATATATATATATATATATAATATATATATATATAATATATATATATATATATATATATATATATTCTATATGAAAATATTATGTTTTAAATAAAGTATTATTAAAAAGTTTAATATCTAATCGAAATTTTAAATGTTAAATTAATTTAACAAAACATATATAAACATTTTATATGATATAAATTTTTTTGTAGTATAAGTTTTAATTTGTGTCTCTCCAAAAACTCATCATGTAGTTAATGCAGTAAATTAGTACAGTTAAGCTTAACTTGAAGCTTTCTAAAAGAGCTTCAGAATGCTTCATTTCAGTATAAAGCTCTTTGACACACTTCTTTATAGTTCATAACAAAAGAACTCTTTGCATAGGAATAATATCAAAAAGTTGATAAGTAATGACACAATGTCTACACATTTAAGGCGGAATTCACTTCCACAGCATTCTACAATTTCAATGAACTTGTTATAAAGAACAGTAAATTAGATATTACATACCCAACCATGTGCACCTATATAAACTCTCTCTTTTGATAAAGTAAAAAAAACTTGTAAAGATCATCCAAACAATAATTTGATGGCCACCAAATTAGACATTTTGCAGAAATTTTGATTTCATAAAAAAACATACTTTGATCAAAATTTACACCAAAGTTAAAAATATAGGTTGTACAAATCTTCTTGACCAAATCCAACATCAAATTTGATATTTTGCAGAATTGTATCTTAAAAAATTAAACTTTGATAAAAATTTCACTTGAATTATAATCTAGATCATGCAAATCTCGACCAAATCCAATCAGGGCATGAGGCGATTAACCTAATCTTATTTTATGGTCATTTGTTAGCGAACTGTCCACGTCATCATCTATGACGGGTCTTGTATCCCTTGTAGTTATATATATATTATATATATATATATATATATAATATATATATATTATATATATATATATATATT